GCAACCTCTGGCCCGCTGGCTGATCCAGCCTGGGAAGGTCTGCCCCAGCCCACGCTAGCATGAAGGATCGGGCTGCCTGTCCCCTCTGCAGCATCCCTCTGCACAACTCTCCCTGCTTGTGCCCGCTCTTACCCTCTCTACAGAGGGCCTGGGTATCTGCAGCAAAGGTAAGTACAGGTGGCTTGAGCTCGATCAGGGTGCCTGGGTTGCAAGCTCCAACCCTTGGTGGCAAAAGTGGCACCCGCCGCTGCTCCAAGTGATAGGAGCTGTGTCAGCTAGTGTGCACAGACAGCATCTAACACACTGCGGGGCATTATGGAGATATACTCTCTCAAGGGGGATAGGCCCTTCCATTTTATTCCTTCTTCAAAGCTTTCCCCTCACCTAGTTTGTGCCTTCTGGGTGACTGGACCTGAGCAAAATTGTATCAGCTGACTTCAGATGAAGAGATCTGAGGGAGGAGAACGCTTCCCCTATTTAAAAGGAAAATCTGAGCCACTCTTGTTTCAACAGCAATAGGGCAAAAGGAGTGGGGAAGGTCAGCACCTGGGAGAAAGTTGAACTTGGTAGGGAAAGGACCCCAAATGAGAAGAAATGCTGTTTTGTAAAACACTGGATTAAATGCGACCGAGTGTGTGATGGTCTGAAAATCACCCTCTGAGTAGGTGTCGTGAAGGAGCACTCCCGACCAGCGTTATGGCTAACCCCGGTGCCCCAACCTGTCGGTGATTCACTCTCCCACCTTTGACCCCTGTAAGGCAGGGTTTTCTCTGAGAGATATTAATAAGTTTTCAGGTGCATAACCTCCTTTCAAAAGCCTGACCGTGACTGACCACTTTCATCCCTCGAAAGGGGTGAGATGCCATTGGAAATCTGCTCCCCTGTCCATCGGGGACACACAGGACAGGAGCCTCTGCCAAGCATACTACAGAGGTGCCATTAGCCATGATACTATTAGTGGGGGGGCTGCTTTGCTCCTTAGACACGAAAAGACCAGCACATTTCATGCAGCCCGGGGTGAGATTAGCCCCAGCTTCTTCGCTTGACTGCTCTGACTTATATGCTTTCTTGGTAACATCTCACCCGGCACAGCAAACCCATCCTCTCCACGCTGACCGGGATCCGTGCAGCGCTCACGCTACCACGGAGAGGGCAAAGCCATCCTCTGTGCTTTCTACAGAAAAAAATACCATATTTGGCCACTTTGAGCCAGACTTGAGCAGGAACTTGTCAGGATGCGAATCACACAATTTAAACTGAAAGAGAGTGAGTTTAACCCTTCGTTTATAAATACGATGATAAATCACGAAAGGAAAATTAAACACGGGGAGGCTGCAAAACTAAACAGGCTGTGAAGCGGTTCCCAGGCAGCGGCAGGGTAAGGCTAGGAAGCAGGAGCGGGTGGGAGCGGGAACGATAAAAGACTCTGCCCAGATGTTCGGATTCAGGGTTGTGACATGGGGGGAAATGCAAAGCTTCAGCTTCAGCTCTTTGTTTGACTTACACCCTGGCTTGCCTGCTAATGCTCTTTCCAGGCTTGGCTGTCACACGTGCCGCCGCTCTGTTGATCTCTCTCTCTCTTTCTCTCTGTGTCCCCTTGCAAAGATCCTTGCTGTCTACGCTGATAACCACCGCTTTGACGATGTAGGCACAACTAGGACGCAACTCTGTTAAACTCCCACGTTAACTTGCCTTCTGCATCCCAAGACCCGAAGTGCCTCGTACCCTAGGACGCCAGCTAAGTCAGCGAGAAGCTTTCCATTGATTTGCAGAGGTTGAAGTTGGTTTTTACAGATGAGGCAGAACAAAAAATCCAGGGAATGAAAACAGGATGCCCAGCCCTGCCCTGCTGGCAGGCTCGGAGCCGAGCTACCCTTGAGAAACAAGCTAATGCCGTCAAGGCACCTGGAGGGAGATAGCTGAGGGCTCAGCCCAGCGCAGCGCCCAGCTGTTTCCTGGCTGGCACAAACCCTTGTGGAAGCAGCCAGCCTCGCGGGACAGCCACAGCCCCTTTCTGCTGACACTGAACAAGAAGCATGATCACAAGGACGAATGAAACCTCAAACTGCAAGCGACTGTTTTCTTGCCTTCTCCAAGGCATGGGTGGTTCCTTTATACCTCCCATTTCTTCCTGTAGTATATTGTGGAGGGTGGCGGTGGCGCTAGGTTTGTTTTTTCCCGTTCTGTTATCCGCGCTGGTAGGTGGGTGGGAGATGGAGACGACGCTCCTGCAGACAGCGGTCTGTTGTATTGTTGCCTACAAAAGCTGTGGCCTGGATTTGATGACCCTAGAGGTCCCATCCAGTCCTTGGACTCATGTTCCTTCCCCGGGCCCATTTCTGCCTTGCTGCGGAGAAAGATTTAAAGCACTACATGTACAGAATTTGGCCTATAAAGTGGTGGCAAGGCGTTGTGTAACCATGCAGCGAACTCAGGCTAGTTAGGCAGCCTTTATATGCTTACAAATTTATCCAAGCTGCAGGAGTGGGTAGGGATTTGGGGGGGACAACAGGCTTTCTCATGGTATTTTGGTGCCTCCGCTCTCAGCAGGCACCACAAAGCACAGTGTAAAACAGCAGGGAGAAGGAGAAATCTTTTCTTTGGCAATCCTTCACAGTCGAGGATGATCGTCTTGCATGACTGTCTTATCCGTGTGTCCAAAGATGGCTGGTGAAGCCTATCCAAGGTCAACAGACTCTGCTGCCGCTCAGACATGTGTTTCCATGTGGGGTGGGCGGCGGTGGAGTCTTGATTTGGTCCATGACACTTGTTTCTGCTGCTCCCACTTTCCATCTCCTGTTGCTGGTGCGAGGTTTCAAAGTACTGAGATCCCTGCAGCAGACTCGTCCTCCATTTGGGGCAGTCCTGGGCGATAGTGTCCCATGAGTTGACATGGATGTTGCATTTTTTTAAGTTGGCCGTGAGGACGTCCCTGAAGCACTTTCTTTGCCCTCCTCTTGAGCGTATGCCTTGGCTGAGCTAAAATCCCAGCTCCAGACTTCCCAAGATGTCAGGTTGGGTGCGTCCAAGCTCAGAGGCTGACCCTGCAATCTGAAGTGTGACTGCCCTGAACCAGCTGCTCTTGGGTACCACCAGCAAGGTAGCTGTGGCAACATGGAGCTCAGGCCTATATTCAGCCAGGCTCCCAGGCAGGTTTTGCCATTTGCACTGATCTCCATCCTACCGCACTCTTCTCAGTGCATAGCTAGCTGAGAAATGGCCGGGCAAGTTGCTGTCACACCTTTGACTGCCATATAGCGGTGTCCTAGAAAACACCCTGGGCACTGGATTTGGAATCAGGAAACTTGGGAGACCACTGGAGATAGTTGGTTCTGCACTGGTGTGCTCTTTGACTTTAAGCAAGTCACATTGCCTCCTGTTTGTATCTCCATCCACAAGGGTCATATTCCTTTGTCAAGATTTGGAAACCTACTACTGCCCCTCCATGTGGATCAGACTGATTGTCATATCTGAGGTCAGGAAGGAATTTTACCCCATGGTCAGATTGGTATGGGCTGTGGTGGGGTTGCCTTCCACTAGGAAAGAGTTATAGCCATCTTCTTCGGTTCTCTTGAGCATATTTTAATAGCATTTGCAACATCAGGACGGTCCATCTGATTTACCTGTGGCAGGTTCGGGTGGTCTGTCTTTTGATTGTATCAGGGTTGGCCATGTAGTTTTGCTAAAGGTTAGACAATGGATTTGTGTGAGATGTTTTGCATAGGGATGATCCTGCCTCTGGCAGGGGGTTGGACTAGATGACCTCTCAAGGTCCCTTCCAGCCCTGCTTTGCTGTAACACCATGATTCTATACTGGTTAGGTCTATTAACTGGGATTTGGGCCACACCTACCAGCATTAAATACATTTATGGGTAGAAGTTTGGGTTTTCATCAAAACATCTTCCATTTACCAAGATATAGAGATGGAAATATATTGGAGTGCAATAATGACAACAGCCAAGTCAAGTCCACTTGTCTGCTCTCACCAGTCTTCCTAACACTTACCATTCAGAGCAAGATCTCTCTTGTTGTGGCCCAACCTGCATCTGTTATGTTGCTTGCTAGTGAAGAAGTCTTTAATGTAGCATGAATTTGGTTGGGATTTGTCACTGGAAGCAAGCCATGAAGGACCCCCCCAGAGAAGTCATTCTCATGCCATCTAGCATCCACATTTCTTTGTCGCTTTGCTGCTATTTTGCATGGAGAAAAGTGGGCCAGGGTGAAGAGGTCAGATGAAAATCTAAACCAGGCATGTTGAAACCACTTTAATAAAAACCCAGCATTGTAAATTCAAAGTGCTGCTTACCATCTGCTGAAGCCTGGAACATATGCCATACATATTGATGATGTTGTATCAGTAATAATAATCACTCTAATAGCAAGGCACAGAGTGTGCATCTTCTGCTCAAGCTGGTGCATCAAATGAATTGAACTGGAGCAAATAAAATGTAGGGCACATATTGGGAAGTCCCACTGTGGAGAACTCAGGCTCAAGATAAGCCTCTCAGGAAAAAGAGTAAAAGTTCATAACTTGAAATATTAGAACTAAATGGGTGCATCTACACAACACACTTTGAGCGCAGTAGACTTATTCTACTGCACATTAGCAGAGCGGGCAAAACCTGTACTAATGCACAGTAGAATTAATCTACTCTGCATTAGCATTGCAAAAAGCATGCACCAACGTTAATGCGCAGTAGCACCATTTACGGATCTAGTAGTAAAAGGTACTAAACTTAATGCGCCATAATTACAGCGCATTAATGAATGTGTATATGTGCCCATTGGGAAGTCTAGTCACAAGGTGGTAATAAGGGCCTTAGAAGTAGAGTAGGCAGATGGTATTTGATAATACCATGCAGCACTGGCTAAGAGGTGAGGAAGAGAATCCTATTCTGTTCTTGAAGTTTCTAATTCTGTGTGGATTCAGGCTTTTTCTATGATGTGGAAGAGACTAAATCCTTCACTCCTTTATTTTTCAGCTCTTATTGATGCAGTCACCTCCACTGTTATTCTCAGTAGCATGTCTGGGGAAGTCTGGGATTAGACGCAGACATCTGCTCCTTTCATTTAATTTCTGTTGCTGAATAATTGAAATATCAACTGAACAAGAGAGACAAGATGTTACAGATGTCATTAGAAGGTGGGACTGAGGTCTCTAGTCTGTGTCCATCTGTGAATCCCCCCTCCGAGTTTCAAATGTGATACCTAAGGTCAGGCCCTTTGCTGGCTACTACTGTTATTTATGGAGTGGTGACAGTATGCTTGGCAGTATTCAAAAGCGAAAAGGCATGGATTCTCCCCCAAGGAGTTTGGTGTCTAAATCAGAAACAGACAAAATCATTTGGGCTTATGTGGCACGTTGACTGCCAGTTAGAGTTCAGTGCGGGGTTAGCGACTTCGTCACTCTTGGAGAAATTGAACACGTTCCGGCTTCCAGTTTCGGCTAGAAATTTCCTGAGAAATGCTGAAGAAGCTCAGTATGCATGTGCATCACACTGTAGTTATATTGAATTACTATCACATAACCACAGGCATGACCATTGCTACCAAGAGGTGTAGCGATGGACTTGAGCCATAAGATTCTGACCTGCCTCTGGATCTTGACCCAAAGTTCACAGCTTGGCATTTAGATTTGGAAGGTGAGAGCTGTAGGGACAAGAGTTGTTGGGACCAGAGGAGTGAACAAACAGTCCTTGCATATTTTGACTGGAGCTTCTCACTAAAATGTAGATGAGAGGCTCTGGGACAGGAAGAGGGAATCTCATCATATGGCCAAGATCAGTGGAAAATTTGACTTTGGTCATTCAAAAGCAAACCTTGCTGTTCCAATTTCAAGGCTGTGGGGAAATGAGGATAGGAAGGGACCTCAGGAGGTCACATCTAGTCCAACCCCCTGCTCAGAGCAGGATCATCCCCAATAGATCATCCCAGCCAAGGCTTTGTCTAGCAGGGTCTTAAAAACCTCCAAGGATGGAGACTCCACCCCCTCTCTAGGTAACCTATTCCAATGTTTTACTACCCTCACAGTGAGAAAGTTTTTCCTAATATCTTACCTAACCTTCCCTGGCTGAAGCATGTGGTATCCTGCATTTGTACAAGGGATTGGAATGGACCCTTTCAGGTCTTTGGCAGATATCTTCCTGCATTCTGCTACTGCAAATCAGAACTGGATTATGACATCAGGGTTTCTTGCTTTCTTTTCTGCAGGCATGTCTACATGTGCAATTGATGCACTTGAATTTACTGTGCAGTAAATTCAGGCTCATTAAACTTTGCCCGGGAACAAGTCTACACGTGCACCCTATGTTGGGTGCAGATTTGCACCCAGTGGGAGCAGCCTAGTCCAGAGGTGCTTCTACCTTGCTCTGCACCTCCCTCCCCCTTGCAGCAGCCAGGGGCAGCTCCTGGCTGGCAGGTGGCAGGGAGGTGAGGTCTGGGCTCTGGGGCGCGGGGAAAGCTGCCCCTGGCTCCATGGGCAGCTCCCAGCCCACACAGCCCCAAGGCAGAGAGCAAGGAGCAGGCAGGCACAGGGGCGCGGGGGCTGGGAACACCAGCTCTTGCCTACCCCTTGCCACAGGTGCACCGGGTGCAGCCCCACACTGGCATGGTAACTGCACAGGGGGCAACAGGCCCAAAGGCACCCCAGCATGGACCCCTGCTCCACAGGTACCCTGGACCAGGTACACCTGGTGACGGGCTGGGCCAGGCTCTGTCATTATACCAGGTACTGCAGAGGCACAGGGGCCTGGACAGCCCGACCAGGGATGAGATCGGCCACTCAGAGGTGTGAGGGCAGTTCTCAGCCCTGGGGCTGCTGAATGGTCCCTTCTGCCCTGCACCCTAGCACCTGCCCTTTGGCTTCAGGATGTGCACCGTGGGGAAGCTCTGGGCCACTGTGATCTCAGCTCCCAGGGGAAGGAAGGATGGGCACGGTATGGACACCACGACCCCACCTCTTCAGCTGGTGGCTTGGACCTGCACACACTCCCCAGGGAGCACAAGCCACAGCTGACCCCAAGCTCTTTGGGCCTGGGAGCTGCCCCCAGAGCCAAGGATAGCTCCCTCCCACCAACCCACCCCCTGCCTCCTGCTGCTCAGGGCTTAGCCAGGCAGCAGTGTGGCCCCCTGCTCCCTGGGCTGCTGGGTGCAATTTGCTCCCGGTCAGCAAGTACACGTGCAGTAATGCACATTATCTTAATGCATTGTTTTTTTTAGTAGCTGTATGTATTGGTACTAGCAAACAGTACATTAGACTAATCAAATGTGCAGTAATCACTGCACATGTGTAAGTGGTGATGCTTTACTGCGTGTTACATTAATCTAATGCTCAGTAAAGCATCTCATGTAAAGCAAGCTCTGTCGTGTATATGAATCTCAGTAGGGACCAGACTCAATGCCTAGCAAAGACAAACTAAGACTGTATTATATTTTATTTCAAACTGAATTGAATGCATATTCCTAGTGACTATCCTTGTTCACAGCTACCTGATCTGAAATCCAGACCCGGGCATACAGAATAGCAGTAAGGAATCGAGAGTAAGGAAGCTCACACTTACCGCAAGGTAAGAAGGTGCCTATGGGTAGTTAAATGTACATTCACCCATTTTTCTTTGAGGTTTCTTGTCCATGCAACAAAAGAAAGCACAACATCTTCCATCAGGCGACAGCTTTCGACGCTCTGACCCTCATTCCTTTATGGAGCCATCCATCTGCAAGCAACAAAATAATTTTCTGTATTTGCTTTTGCTTTTCTGATGTACCTTCCTACAAGACTCTGTGATCATTTCTCAGAAATCTTTCACTCTGTGCACACTGCTCTACCTCACTCCAAGGCTAATGCCATTTTTGGCCAAGCTGTGGCAAAATATTTTTACAAAACCTTTAAAAAAAATGATGATGGATGAGTGAATAAGAGCTGTTAAAGCAGGCAATGAAGTTTTGAACAGCATCATAAGAACTGGTGGGGGAGTGGAGAGACAATTCCCTTTTCTGAGAGGATTTAGAGATCTTGAACATTGATTTAATTCATATTTGGAATAAAACAGGTGCAGTTCCCAATTGGTCTGGCTGCCCTGAAGCTACAGGACCTGGGGATGCAGGGCTTCAAAGAAACCACAACACTGTACCATCAGGGCTTCCAGGCTCCAAACCCTCCAGCCCATGCTCCAGCAGTTGGCAGGAGCCCATAAACCTTGCAGACCCCGCTCCACAACAGCCTGCTAGGTGAGCCGTGGAGAAGCCATGGAGCCTGAGACCTTGGGAGCTGGGTAGCTGAGGCTCACAGAGCTCCAGACCACGCGGCTTTCCATCTGCCCATCATATGGGCTGGCCTGTATCTGGGCAGGCAAGCGTCCAGGAACCCAAGCAGAGTCGGAAAGAGCCTAGCAGGCAGGTTTCCGCATGGCCCTTCCTGGGCTCCATCCCAAAGCTTATCCCCACAAAGCATGTTGATGTTGCCGATTGACGTTTTCCTAAGAAACAGCATCCCCTTGGAGACTCCCCAGCTAGCTGTGTCCCTCCTGTTGCATTTTGCAGGGTAAACTCTTCCCGGGAACTTCTTGTCGGCAGAGTGGCACTCCCCCCGTGGTTCACGTGGTCGGCAGAGTGGTCTAGCGCACAGTCGATTGTAACCGTCTTTTACCCTTGTCCAAAAGGCCTGCCCTTGGGAGCAAGCTGCTCGTGGTTTCTGAGGTTCCACAAAGATTTTGGGGACTGATTTGGGGAGTTTGAAGTGTCTGTCACAAGCCAGGATGTCCTCTTTCAGACCTGAACCCCACGAATAGTGAACTTCCCATGAATTCTGGAGAAAGTGTTTATGAAGTAGGTTTCTGAACTAGTTGGTCTTGAAGGTGTAACCCTCCCCTTCCTTCTGCCTGGCTTCCAAGCAGCACAGCTACTCACCTCCGTGCTTACATGGGTCTCTCATATCCTTTCCTTGCCTCTTTGACACTGTGTGCTTTAAGATCACAGCCCAGGCCTCTCAGTGTTATCCTTTGCTGATTCAGGAGGATGCTTTGGGGTTTGGGGTTTTTTTTAGGTTGGTTTGAGATCTTCCAGATGTTGTCAGCCATCTATTTCTATTTAAATCAGCCAAGTCTCTGTGTATATAGTTTTTATACAAATAGGTTTAAAATAGTGTGTGAGCCGGGAATGATTTGCAAATTAAACTGTCAGTCCTTGACAGCAGAAGCCGCAGCGAGAGCAGCAGCTCGGCTGAGAATCTCCCAGCTGCCACGGCTAAGTTTGCAGAGAGATGCAGCCAGCTTGACTTCGGCTGGCAAAAATAAACTCCTTATGGTGGAGATACATGCCCAGTACCTGTCTGCCCATAGCTGCAAAGCCCTGGCCCTGCCTCTTCCCCTTCCCAGTCACAGGTCAGAGCAGTGGCAGAGAAATACAGCTCAGCCACAGGCAGGTTCAGCAAGGTGCTCCTCTCTGGACCCAAAGCTTCAGTGATACCAAGTAGGTCCCATCACCCCCACTGCCAGCTGTCCATTCACCTCTGCATTGTCCTACGCTTCCCCCTTGCTTCATCTCTATTCCAGCTCCCACCTAGTCCTTACTCTGCCCACCCCTAGGGCTGGTAAAGGCAATTAAGGCCCCTGGCAGTACATGACAGACTGCCTCTATGACTTGCCACCAGGGCTTGATGCCGTGCCACGGCCTGCCTGTACATGAAGGTGGCAAGAGGAATCCCTCTCCTGCAGCAACAATGGCTGGGGATCCACTTCTCACTCGCCGAATAGGGCCGGGATGCTGCATGTTCCTCCTCCAGTCACTCATAGTCCCCTGCTGGGATGGTGCTCGTAGGCCCCCCCGGGGTAGTTGACGCCTTGCAGCCATTCACAGGCCAGTTCCCATCTCTCGGAGCCACGGCTGGGGGCTCTTTGCACACTCAGGCAGCTGCTGCTGTCTCGCTTCTGTCCATGTCGTGTTTCCCGGCTCTTCTTCATGAACTTGAGGGCTACAAACTTACCGACTTCTCTAAGAGGCAGAGGGCCTGCACTTAGCCTGTCCCATGATCCACTACATGTGCTTGTTTGGCATTTGAATTATTTTATTTCATTATTATTTATGTATGTATTATGCATATTGCTAGGAGGCCCTGATTCCTCCGTCTCAGTGCACACAGAGCAAGCCTAGAGTCCCTGCCCCACGGAGATCATGCGACCGCCATGAAAGATGAGAGAGAACAGGTAGAAGACAAGGGAGCAATATGACTGTACTACCCAACATGGCTCTCAGGTCGCAGTTTTTGCCTGGGTAGCTGTTCTACTTGCTATAAGCTTCTGAGCAAATAGGGTTTTCCCCAGCCTCTGAGCTGCAGATTTTTAGCTGGGGAGTAGTTGGTAAAGCAACTTTCCAACACACTTGGCTTAATCCCTTCGTAGCTAGGGGCCCCAGCCTTCCCTCCTTGATCTAAGTCACTACCCTCTCCTACTTTATAATCCTGCTGGCAGCCCACGTGTCTCCCCATCCCAGCAATGAGTGAGTCAACGGATCTTTATCTTCGCCATGTCCAAGCTGGATCGATAAGCACCTGGCATATCAAGAAGCTTTGTGATCACACTGCTGTGTCCCTTCTGCATCTTCACCTCGTCCCCCTCTCTAAGGTGTCTTATCCCCACCTATCTGAAGCAAAGATTGCAAACTCTTCAGGGACTTGGGTCTTCTTTGAAGCATCGTGCATATTTCCCGAGACACTAAAAGGGCAGTAGTAATAGTAATAGGTTTCCCACTAGTGGCTACCAGTGAGGTACCTACTCAAGCCAACTGCTTTGCTTCAGAGATGTCCTGTGTTCAGAGCCTATGGTGATACAGCTGGGGGCCATTGGGAAGGTGTGATCAAAAAGCCTTTGCGATTTCTTCCTGGGGTTGTAAGGGTTTATGCTGTAAGCCCCTGAGCCTGCCTCTAAACGTCTCTTTGCTTCTTTCCTCCAGGTCACCAGAGCACTGACCATGCCGACCACATCCACCCAAGTGCTGGGCCTCAGCCTTATCAACTCCACCAGCACACCCAACATCTCAGATGAGCCCAGCTCGTTCTACAAGTTTGTCCACCTGGATACCGAACTATACAAAGACTTTTATAGCTTGTGGATATCTTTGATGGTCATCAATTCCATCATTTTCCTGGTGGGTGTGGTGCTCAACAGCTTGGCGCTGTATGTGTTCTGCTTCCGCACCAGGACAAAAACCACCTCTGTCATCTACACCATCAACCTGATTGTGACTGACCTACTGGTGGGCTTCTCCTTGCCCGTCCGGATCATCATATACTACAGTGCAAGGGACTGCTTCAAATGCTCTTTGGTTCATATATTCGGCTACTTCGTCAACATGTACTGCAGCATTCTCTTCCTGACGTGCATCTGTGTTGACCGGTACCTGGCCATCGTGCAGGTGGAAGCGTCTCGGAAGTGGAGAAATCCCACCTGTGCCAAGGGGATCTGTGTCTTCATCTGGATCTTTGCCACGGTGGTGACATTCTCCGTCTTGACCATGGCAATAAAGTTCGCCCACTGCTGCCTTGCGAAAATCTTGGCCTTGATGGTCTGTGAGTACTTCTTCCCGCTTGTCATCATCACCTTCTTCACCACTAGGATCATGTGTGCGCTGTCTAAACCCAGCCTCATGCACCAGAGCCGGGAGAGACGGATGAGGGCTGTACAGCTCCTTATCACCGTCCTCATCATCTTCATGATCTGCTTCACTCCTTTCCATGTGCGCCAAGTGGCTATTTCCATCAACCCAGATATGCCCAGGAGCATCAGCCTGGTAGTTTACCACGTGACAGTGACACTGAGTAGCCTCAACAGCTGCATGGACCCAATCGTCTACTGTTTTGTCACCAACAACTTCCAGTCGACCATGAGAAGCATCTTCAGGAAGGCCGAGCTGGAGCAAACCAGCATGGACATCATCAGTATGAACAAGAATTCCAAGGGCTCGGGCACAAATGCAATCATCGCCTTCTCAAACACGATCGGGGGCCCTCTGAGCTTGCCTTCCCCAAGCAGCACACCTATCTAATCAAGGGGGCATAGTGCAGTAGGCTGGCGCACGGTTGCTGGAATACCGCTGGGTTGTACAGTCCTATTGTCCTTGACCTTGTGTTGTCTAGTGGGACGTTTAGACCGGTTGTGTTGGAATTTCTTCCTCAAGAACACGATGCTCTGTTTGGAAAGAGGAGCTCTCGTGCTGTTCGTGCCAATGCAAAAGATAGTCTGTGACTGATTGCACAGGGCAGGAACGCTCTTTTTGCATTTGAACACAAACGTCTTCCTCGTGCCGAATCCAGTTCTGTCAGTGGTTTTGTTTACTGTTTCACACCGGGATGTGTGACACTCAGACGCAGAAGAAGGCCGTGTTTCCTGTGAAAGCCTTCCCACCTTGAAAATGTTGCTCTTGAGAAATAGAGATGTTGCTGAGCTCTCCACTGGTTGAGTGACTGCAAAGATTTTAGATGCCATGCAAGGAAATGGAGAGGGACAAAGAAAGCCCATGAGCAGCAATTCAAATGTCTCTGAAATGTGCCTGGACTTTATGGAAGATACTGTAAAGCAAAATAGTAATAATCCCTGACAATGCAACAATAAGGAAAGGAAGTGTTTGGTTTTTATATCTAATATATATATGCGCAAGGATTTTTTATTCTGTTTGTTGGTGTTTAGTATGTTCTGTATTCAGATTAGTCATGGGAATCGCAGGTTTCCCTAAATCTCAGATGGGCACAGAAAGAGTCTGTACAAACTGATGTGATTCCCTAAAAACTCTACCTACTCCTCTTGCTGCAATAATGATGACAAACAGGACCAACATATTAAGTTGTATTATATTAGGATTTGCTATTCCAACTCCCGCCCTGGTTCTGTCTAATTGGGCATCTGTCCTGCTGATTCAAATAAGGAAATTAAAGGGAAAGGAAAATCCACCTTAAATATGGAGGTTGAAAGTCACCTCCGTGCAAAGCCACACGCATGATTTAACTCCCCGTGTTTGGGATTTAAACAGTGCTCTAGTCTCTCTGCAGACCTTCCCTACAATGCTATATTATTTCTCCCCTGTCTTGCACCATTAAAATAAGGTAAGCATGAAATAGCATCTCAAAGAAACAGCAAGAGACAAGAGTCTGAATGCAAAATGCCATCACAATGATGATGATGGTGGAAGTTGCAGTTGGAAAAATATTCTGTTGATTCCAGCTGGCTGCAAATGTTTTTCAAACAGATCAGTGGACCTATACTGCTCCACCAGTTCCTGGTCTAATCTCCTCCAAGCTGAAGATGATGGATGGAAACCCATGAAGAGTATTTTAAGAATCTGAATGGAGGTTACTGGGATTTCCATTAGAGAGTATACTGTTCTGCAGGACGGCTGCTTCATTCAGGACCTGAGTTTGAAAACAATCAGCTTTGGATAACGTGACTCTCTGCATAGCATAAGGATCTCTTGCCATCAGCTCTTCTGAGAGCTTCATAAAGGTACAATGCCCCATCCAAGCATAATGATAATAACCAAGTATTAACATTATTGACATAATATCCCATTACACTTAAACGATCTACTAACTCCCAATGTTCAATGGTCTTTGAGAAGCCCTTCAGTGTTGCATAGGCCGGCAGGTCTTTTCCGGCAGCTATAAGTGTATCAGTCCATAGCTCTGTCATACCCCGGGGCTCAGCCTCCTCACCCTGTTAAGACTCTTACCAGCCTAAGTCCTTCTGAGGCAAGTTGGCCAATTGTGTATCCCTCGTCTCTCCCTTTCCTGAAACGCTGAGATGTCACCTATTTCTTCACAGTATGCATCGATAGGGAATGAATCACACATTTAGCTAAAATATCTTCTAATGAGACTATCTCAGGGAAGCTAAAGTAATAGTCTTGGACAAGTACATCACTTCTTCTATCCAGCATAAACAAATAAGGCCTATTTTGGTTCAAGAAGCTAATATTTCTTTAACTTGGCCCATGTTTTTGTCACATGTGATAATCCTTAGCAGTCTCTTTAATACCACTGTGCATTTGTGGCCAGTATAAATTTTTTCTTGGATTTTTTTAATAACAAAAGGACCTTCCCATATCTTTTTACATATTTTCCATTAGTGTCATCCTGCTGCTTTAAAAACCCCATCTGCTACCTAGAGCTACCACATAAATCAATAATAAGGGCGAGGTATCCTGGCCACCCTGTGTGCTTGTTTTCTGCAAGGTCTCCTCGGTTGCAGTAACTCTGATAATCACAGTCCACATTTCATCTGAGACCGGACATATACATCATTTAAGTCCAGCTCTGATTCCACTGCATTTTTTTTCATGAGAGTATCTGAAACTACCAAATCTCTCCCAGATTTGTACAATATATTTGTAGCTAAAAAAAATCAGCTCTGCATTCTTCGGAGAAGGCAAAGGGGATGCCAGGCATCTCTTGGCTATGTCAGCAAGTGGTTTATGGTCAGCTTCAGCTATCAGAGCTCTTCTATATATAAAGGCAAGAAATGTTTTATACCATCAGATGAAGCCAATGCTTCCTTCTCTATGTCTGCAGACCGACACACACAATTTATTGTCACTTCTGATGCATGAGACCCTGATATCCAGTTTTCACTCTTTAGGAAAACTGTACTTCCCTTGGACTTACTGGTGGAGAATATAATTTTAAGCTTTTTTTACCCTATTATCTGGGGCTTCTAATTAAATCCTCCAATTTCTCAAACCCCTTTCCACTGCACAACTTGCAGAGGAAAATTCTCACGTTGTTGGTTCGAGCAGCTCGATTAGACATGAATTTTCCTACATACTGTATCAGCCCATCCTTCCTAGTCTCTGGTGCAGGCAACCTGCTGATGGTCTCAACCTGACCATGATCTATCCAGACACTTTTGGGCATTATCTGTTTTCCTAGTATTTACATTTTGGGGTGTTTAGCTCTAGCCCACCAGCCAGGCTCTGTCCAAAGCTGCTCGGAGCCTCTGATCACGCTCTTCAGCTGTTCTTCCCTAGATCCAGACCTCCCCTATGCAGACTTTAGTGCCGTCTATCCTATCAAAATCTCTTGTATTTTTCTGTGAAACACATTTGACCCCAAACATAACCATAATGGCAATTAAAAAAACAAACCACTGTCTCCAAGGGTATGTGTCCAAAAGGCCCCTTGTAAACCTTTGCTGCAAGCTTTGCTGGTGCATCAAAACACTTGGTGTCAGCCATCTCTTCAAAAATGTCTCCCTTTGTAAGTAGTGGGAAATGTTCCCCTTGGGTGAAGCTACTTAATTATGTCGACTCTATCCATACACAAAT